AGTCCGTCGACCGAGTCTCTACTTTTACGTTTTAAAAAATCGCTAACCAAAATTTGTCTAATCATCCCCACCAATAATGTGATGACGTCACTTCAACATTGTCCCTAGTAAATGAGTTTTAAATTGTATAAAATAGCATAGTCCTACACATGTAGTTTATAACTCCGAATTGATTTTTTACCCGAAACGTCCAGATTTTCGGAAAAAAATCAAAATTATGAAACATTTTGCAATTTAATTTTGAATCTGCAAAACCAAGTGATTTGAAATCTTGCAGATGTTTTAAAGTTCTGATAAGCATGATGACCTTTTTTTTTGCGGGTCAGTGTATATTTGCTTATCCTCACCGAAAAATTATCTAAAATATCCAAAATATCATGAGTCTATACTTGTGATTTATCATTCTATTCATATTTTTTGGATTTGATTATACGGGGTGACTCAAAAAATTAATGAATGTGTGAATTTATTTTATTGATTTAATCAGGAACCGAATGCTTTGAAATCTTGGAGACGCTTTAAAGTTATCATAAGCATGGTAAATTTTTGATTAAATTAAAAAATTAATGACGTCACCTCAAAATTTTGCTGAATAAATCCGATCTGAAATATTCAAAATATGATGAGTTTTTACTTGTGATTTATGACTGCATTAATATTTTTACTTCCCCAGCGTAAGCAAAGGAAGTATTGTAATCGAGTCCGTCGGCCGACTCTCTACTTTTACGTTTTCTCGGCCTTTCATGACCCCTAATGCGATGACGTCAGTTCAAAATTGTACATAGTAAATGGGTTTTAAATCGTATGAAATAACATAGTCCTACACATGTAGTTTATGACGCCGAATTGAGATTTTTGAAAAAAAAAAAAATCAAAATTATGAAACAACATTTTGCAATTTAATTTTGAATCTGCAAAACCGAATGCTTTGAAATCTTGTAGATGGTAAACCATCTGCAAAAATTTATCATGCTGTCATAAAATCAAAATATATTTACTTATCCCCTCCAAAAAATTGATGACGTCAGCTCAAAAGTTTGCCGAATAAATCCTATCTAAAATGTACAAAATATGATGAGCCTATACTTGTGATTTATCATTCCATTCATATTTTTTGGATTTGCGTATACAGGGTGACTCAAAATAATTAATGAATGCGTGAATCTGTTTTATTGATTTAATCAGGAACTACAAAACCGAATGCTTTGAAATCTTGGAGATGTTTTAAAGTTATCAAAGGCATCATAAATTTATAGTCAAAATGTATTTGCTCATCCCCTCTAAAAAATTGATGACGTTACCTAAAAATTTTGCTGAATAAATCCTATCTAAAATGTACAAAATATGATGAGTCTGTACTTGTGATTTATCATTCGATTCATATTTTTTGGATTTGCATATACAGGGTGACTCAAAATAATTAATGAATGCGTGAGTCTGTTTTATTGATTTAATCAGGAACCATAAAACCGAATGCTTTGAAATCTTGGACATGTTTTAAAATTATCATAGGCATGGTAAATTTATAGTCAAAATGTATTTGCTTATCCCCCCCCAAAAAATTGATGACGTCACCTCAAAATTTTGCTGTATAAATCCTATGTTATATGTGCAAAATATGATGAGTCTGTAGTTGTGATTTATCACTCCATTCATATTTTTTGGATTTGCATATACAGGGTGACTCAAAAAAATTCATGAATGTGTGAATTTAGTTTATTGTTTTAATCAGGAACTGCAAAACCGAGTGCTTTGAAATCTTGGAGCTGTTTTAAGTTTATCATAAGCATGGTAATTTTGATTAAAATGTATTTGCTCATCTCTCCTAAAAATTTGATGACGCCACCGCAAAAATTTTGCTGAAAAAATGCTTAAATATGTAAATAATGATGAGTGTATACTTGTGATTTATCACTGCATTCATATTTTTTAGATTTGCTTAAACAGGTGTCTCAAAAAAATCAATGACTGAGTCAATTTATTGTATTGAATAAATCAAGAATTGCAAAACCGAATGCTTTGAAATTTTGGAGATATGTAGTTTAAAGTTATCATAAGCATCATTGTTGGCCTGATTTAAATCAAGTGATTTAAAAAAAAAATCATTCTTGATTTTTTAAAATTTTCTTTTTGAATTACGAACATATAATGCATGTTAGTCTTTTAAATGCAATTTAATTCAATAAGGGTACTACCTGCGTACCGCCGCAATTTACGTAGACTTTTCTGGGACACCGCGAAGGCGAAAGACCCGTTGCAAGTGCAGTCCGATTCTTTTAACTTTGGCAATGTCGTAAATTAATAGCAAAAAAGACATCTGGAATGTTTACATTTATGTCTTTCACTGCAGCTCTAAGCTGTTACTACAAAGAATGTGCGTATTTCGCAACAATGGGTGCAGAAGTATTAATTTAATATTAAATTGATGTATTAATTTAATCTTAAATTAATACATCAATTTCTGTTAAATTTGTCAATAATTGTAAATTTCCAGACATTCACAAAGGTATTGGTGTTTTTTAAAAGAAAAAATGCAGTTAATTGTTGAAATCGTCCCTGTGGTGAAGAGGAAGGTGCCCTAATTGGGGTATAAATAAGCCTTTAGTTGTAATTTAACTTGAGTTTAGCTTTGTATAAACAATGCCAACGTGATTGGCGAAACGCGTCGGCAAATATTTTTTGTTTTCGGTATTGTGGGGATAAATGTTATACAGAGTCATCAAAATTGATTGAGAGAGTTGGTACCCCCTGTTTTTGTCGTGAAGTTTGTCAACCTTATGACAGATTTGTTTAAGGTTATATGGCAATGAATTCAGTGGCGTGACAAAAATTCGAAACTTCAAATCTGACAACTAATATTTTTACAAAAAAAAAAAATCGAAAAAAGACGCCACTGAGTTTTGAAATTTGAAACTTGAAACTTCAAATCTGACAGCTAATATTTTTATACAACTTAATAAACCAAATTATTCAAGTTCAGGTTTACCAACTCTCTCAATCAATTTTGATGACTCTGTATTACCGCTAGAATTGGTTGGTATTATATAACATTTATTCAGATTTTATTTAGAGCTTACAACATCCGTATCGCAAGGTGGGGTGTTTAAAGACTTTTGTAAATAAATTTATGTTTTCAGTTTATTAGAAAACATAGTGAAAGTTTTGTATCTGTATAAGTTTAATCAATATATTAAATATTTTATTCACAATCAGTTATGTTCACTTGCACCAACGATACTTAAAATTTAAGTAGTGATTAACTCCTAAATAAACTTGTACCATATTGTAAGAAGTGATTATGTTGTATTAAGCGGTGGTTAAACTAAACCAACAATCTTGACTGCTTAAATGATACTTTGGTAAGAAAAGAGCACATTTGCTCTTGTGCACATGCGTACAAGGACATTGTTTGTTGTCGCGCTAGAGCTGATCAAATTACAAATCGCAGCTCAAAAGCGGAAAAATGAATGAAAAAAGTATCCAAAATGGACAAAAAAGTTATCGTTTGGGTCTTTAAATAAATGAAGCTTACTTAAAAAAACAAAAAATGGAAACTGCTAATGCGCACACTACAGATCTGTTTCAGTTTTGTAATAGCTTTTCAATTTTATATGCCACTTGATAGAGAATCTGCATTCTGTTCTTAACCTCCTTTATAATTGAAAGTTTTTTATTTTTGGCGTACAGGATCGTAATAATATTTACAAATATGCAAAATAATTATTAATTAATTAAGATACGGCCTATCTTATAAACTAATTAATTGTTTTTATTACTTCCAAATCATTGTGAAATGCCAGAAAGAAATCATGAGTATTCATGTCCATGTTCTTTTAAACAAAAGATTTTTTTTGCACTGCTGTAACATTTGTTTTACTCGTCAACAAATATTACGACACGTCACCTGCACATTATGCTGGACCAAATTAAGGAAAGGTTAAAAAGTGTACGTAAATTGCAATAAGAATTAATTCCTGCTTAATAAACAATTTCACTCCTACAAGATCGATAGCCGGAACAGTATCCCCTAAATTAGGAAAATCCAGAGCAGATGATTTCAATGTATTTCTAATACCTAAGAGTGGCCACCTACTCGGGAAACGTTCATTGCTTGTAGATTTGCATCTTTCCGATACACGACAAAATCATTTGGAAAAAGTTCAGTATTAGCAACATCACTGGCCAACCAGATTTCAGTTTACATTATTTATTCATTCACAAACAGAATTGTAAAAGTTATTTATTTTAGATCTTAAGCCCACTACAATTCTGGTGTACGTATACAACATGGCGAAGACTTGCATTTGGGTGTATATTTTAGTTTAACGACACAATTGTGCGTGAGCCATTTATATAAAATTCGTTTCCCCGATACTCACTCTAATACCAAGTTGTTCTTGGACTTGTTTATAAGATGCGATTTGCTTGGGTATAATGCTAAAGCCATGTAAGCGGTCGGAAATTAAACTCTTTCCGACTTGTGGGGTCATCACTGCCGAATTATAAATACTAATTTAAACAATTAACAGCCGGTTTACAGCAGCTTACTTAAATATTTGATTGCGATTAAATTTTTATCAGACGTCGCTGAACACCTCGTTAAATGTGTGACGAACTTAACCTCAAGCAAAATATTCTATAAACCGGCTCCGAAATAGGCCAATCAATTTTTCTATCGGATATTTTACCGAAATAAACCACAATATTATGGAGGTAGGTTTTTTATTATTATAATGGTGCTTGTTTTATAAAATGATTGTGAATAAAATAGTATACAGACCTCGGCAAAGGTACCATTCCTTTCTCGAGAACTGGTTCACCCCAAGGCACAGCTGTAGAATAGATATATTCTACAGCCGTGCCCCAAGGCTACACCCCTCTGTAAACTATTCTCTCGACAGGAATGGAATAATATACTATTGACTATGGACTTGTATTGAGTATTCTAATGCATGCATTGATCTTTATTTATCCACCAATAATAACCAATGTTTGTTCAGTGGGTTCCAGAAATAACACATCACTGTCAAAAAACTCCATTTCTTCTTGTTGGAACTCAAGTGGATTTACGTGACGACGGGGCTACAATTGAAAAATTAGCGAAAAATAAGCAGAAACCAATTTCAGTTGAACAAGGAGAAAAGTTAGCCAAGGAATTAAAAGCAGTAAAATATGTTGAATGTTCAGCTTTAACCCAAAAAGGTCTGAAAAATGTATTTGATGAAGCTATTTTAGCTGCTTTGGAACCTCCAGAACCAATTAAACGTAAAAAGTGTGTAATTTTGTAAGCATAAAACAATAAAATTGAATTAAACTTTTTTATGTTAGTTTAAACACAAATTTTATATTTATTTGTTTATTGTTAGTTATGATACTACTAAAAATTGTTTGATTACTATATTAACTCTTCCATTTCTCTTAAATCTGATAATAATGAATTATTTTTGGGAACAGGAGTCAGTATTAAATAAGGGACTTCAGTTAAATTGAAAGTTTAAGTTGGCAATAAGTGTTCTAAACATTATATTTCTAGCGAGATTTGTTTTGTACTGTTTGTAATCTGTACTTTATTATTTTCATATTATTAATCTGAACAGTTCTTTATAATTTCAAAAAAGAGATGAACGAAAATTATGTATAAGTTATCCATAATTATTAAAATAAAATACATAAATTAATGTGTATTTTTTGTCTGCGATAAAACCCCTTCTTGTTTGTGAACAGAAATACAGATGATCAAAAATTTTATCACATTAGGTTAGACTAAGAAAATGTGTTTTATTTCCTTTATTAAACCCAAAGATATTGAAAAGAATTAATATATCAACCTGTATACCTTGCATAAAGCCAAAATGACTAATATACGAGTACAAATTAGTCACCAGAAAGTTACTTCTGGAAATTATTTTTACGCAACCCAAAATAATAATACTCTACCACAAATATAATTTTTAACGAGTTGCAATGTTTGTGGACTTATAGCTCTGCTTTCCTGGCGTATTCTGTGTTTAATGTTCCATATTTAATGGTGGTGTCTCATATAGGTACCTTTTCCTGTATAACCCCCCATAGAAAAAATCCAGTACTGTCAAATCGGGGCTTCGAGGTGGCTAGATATTATTAGATCCTCAAGTTATCCAATGATTCCTGAACGACTGATCTAAATATTCTCGAACAGTTTTGTGCTAATGCGGCGGGACCCCATCATGTTGTAGCCATAAACTTCGTCTCGTACTTCTGACAGTAAAGGCAGTTCGGTTTGTAAAAAATCCTGATATATTGCACCATTAAGAAGTCCATCAAGAAAGTGGGGGCCAATGACATGATTATTTGTGCGACCGCACCAAACATTAACTGAGAATACATGTTGGAAATGTGTTTCTCGAATCCATCTTGGAATTCTTGGATTTTCTTGCAGATAGTAGTGGCAGGTGTAACATTTTACTTCTCCGTTATTGCTGAATCCTGGCCTCGTCACTGAATAATAGCTTATTTAAAAAATTAGGATATGCATTTAGTTTTCGTTTGACAAAATGACAAAACTACAGTCTTTTCGGAAAATTCGTTGGTTTTAACTGTTATGTGTTCAGCACATTAAAAACATGTTTTTCTCTTAAGGCGGCCACACAGAGAGGGAAGACTGCGCAGTTAAAAGTGTGCACGCTTGTCTTAAGTTAAACCCGTACTGTCTAATTGCACACACACACTCATGCTTCCCCGTCAGTTCTGTAGCAAATGTGCATCGCTATGCTAACGAACAAAAATGTTTTTTTCATTACAGTGGCGTGTAGTTGTATTATACAGGGTATTTTTGAAATAGATGGAAACTTTTTTTAAGGTAATTGGTCATGATGTAGAGAATTTATGCATCAAATATTGATCTAATAAAAATTCTTTAGTTTTCGAGATAAAATTGATTGAAAATCTGTTAAAATTTGCGTGTGCGCTACTGATTCCAAAAATGTTAAAGGTAAATTTGATCACTATAGTAATTTAAAGTAGGTAAAATTGTTGCTTGTTAACATGACAATACATTCATTAGCCCATCATTTTTTGACGTTTTTGCAATTTTTTGGAACAACAAAATGAATTTTTCTAATTCTGAAATGACTGACATGGTTCTGATGTATGGACAAGCCTTAGGAAACTCCTTGGAAGCGCGACGTTTATACCAAGAAGCATTTCCCGAACGAAGATTGCCAAATCATAAAACATTTGCTAACGTTGTTCAGCGTCTACGAGAAAATGGGAAATTTCAACCTCGTTTTAGTGATCGTGGTCGTGAAAGGACAGAACGGACACTTGATGCCGAAGAAGAAATTTTGAATGTCGTTGAAAACGATCCAGGTATAAGCATTAGACGATTGTCTTACCGAGTGGGAGTTTCATTTGAATGCATGCGACTTCTTTTTATGGGGTCACATGAAAGAGTTGGTTTACCGAACACCAGTAAATTCTGTTGAGGAACTTTGGGACAGAATAACAAATGTAGCTGCTGAAATTAGAACACATCCCGAAATGATAACCAGAACCCAACAATCATTGATTAGACGTGCGGAAGCGTGTATACGAAATGGTGGTGGACATTTTGAAAACTTGCTCTAGTTGCATACGTTACGTTTTGTTTAATTTTATGGTTGATTAAATTATGATTTTGAAGTTTTAATTGTCAGTTCATTAATTATTGTCATTGTTTATTTGTTGCTAGCAATAAATTAATAGCAACAGTAGTTACACCTCGGCAGTTTTCAGTTACTAGGTTTCACATTTTTTCGTGAAACCATTATCAATGGAGGAATGAATGTTTGGATAGGGGTTAAATTTTCCTTTCAAAATTTTACTAAAACAACAAACGTTCATTTGACTTCTTAAGTTCCCTACATTCACCAGATTTTTTGTTTCCATGTATTTCAATAACACCCTGTATAAAAAAAAACAATTGTAAAATAAGTCAGACGTCATTTAAAAATACGGCGCTAATGAATTAAAACTCAAGTGTGCAGCGACTTGTCTCCACACACACTGAGTTTTCCCCGCGCAGTTATAACTGTGCACGCTAACAACAGACTTGACTGCACATGCCACATTCTTCTCCACACACTAGGAGTTTTAACTGTACCCCGTGACACGTACATTCAAGTCTTGACTCTTCTCTCTCTGTGTGTGGCTGCCTTTATACCTGCTTATATTCAGACTATTATTAGCATTGTTTGGCGTTGCTAAAATACATCAATATATCATGGAATAAGATACTGGTTTCAGTATCTTATTGAATGAGATACTGATTGCTAAGAAACCAGTATTTCATTGCTTTACGAATGTACTAATAAACCACTATTTATTATGAAAATGTACAACACATTTATGAAATTCAAAAACTGATGCAGAACCAGTCGATGGTCCTTGAAGTTCAACGGAGTGGTTCTCCTTCGTCGCCGTTTCCACACCATTTTCCACAACATCACATGAAGACACACTGACAGAAGAATCTATTAGTATTTTTCGGGCAATTTTTATCTTCTGCTCTAAAGAATCTTCCACGTAGCCTGTTGCAACTTTATCAGAGGACCATCCACCAAACCTTTTAAGCGTAGTCATGTGTCAGCTCCCTGGTCCACAAACAACGTCTGTTGACCTGCTCCTCATCCATTGCTTAAACAGTTGATATTCACGGTCGTATAGCTCTTTGGAAGTATCAGGAAGCAAATTCTGCACCACACTTAATGCCTTTTTACGGATTTCTTCTGGAATTTCCATTATTTTTTGTTTGATAAAACTTGACAGTTTTTTTTTAATTCCACAATTGTTTATTTACAGTTCTGTCATAGTAACTGCCGCCAACTACATATTTTGATTTCGAATATATTTACATTTTATGAAGGAAATTAAAGAATATAAGCAGGTATAAGAGAAAATTTAATATTATACACGTGACAAAAATGCCAGTATAGGCTCGTGAGTCAGTATAACACTCACACTATCGTGCTCGTGTCATACATACTCACTCACCTATAGTGGCTTATTTTAATAACTAGTATTTAATAGATACATATACAGCAATTTGAGGTAAGTTTATATGCATTACTTTCGAGTAATGAGTGTGTTTTTGACATAATTTGAGTTCAATATTCTCTGCAGGAAGGAATTATTCTCCCTTCTTCGTGAAAAACGCAAAAAAAAACCGGCTCAGTCCAGAGGGATCATTTAATTGCTCATCTAATAAAATTTTACAATATTGAAGACAAAGAAACTTGAATACTTGAATTGAAGAAAAATGTTAAATTTTTCTCAAAAGATGACAAGTGTAGGAGAATTGAAGAGCGTTTTTTTTTTTAAGCAAAATGCCTTATAGTTGGCAGCACAGGAGGAGTTGGTGTCTTTGAGAGCAGAGACTTCTACCTGTACCTCTGACATCTAAACCTTCAACATGTTTTCTAGTGAGCCGACCTAGAGTGTCTTTTGAAGTTTAGACATTAAAAAATGGCAAGTAAGAACCGCTTAAAAGGCAGGTATAGAAGTACAAAAAAAAAATTCAAAAATAATTTCGTGGCAAACTTGGGTTGATTGTGAACCAACCGCGTGCAGGAGGGAGCGGAAAGTCTAATGATGGGAACACTGCAAGGCGATTATTTGATATTCCTAAAATTTCAGCAGAGATCACTGGAGTATAGAAAACTTTAATCTACAGATTTTCTGTGATTTTAAAAGCAATTACTTGTGGAGAAGAAATACAATTAAAAGCATACGTACAATGCATATGGCATTGAAACGACGAAAATATTTGTTGAGGAATATGGATGGTTTAACATGCGTATGACGGTACATAAAGTTCTAATTCATGGGACAATTATTATTTGCTTCCTATTGGGCAGTTAACAGAGGAGGCATAGGAGGCTAGAAATAAAGATATACGAAAATACCGGAAATATCATACGCGGAAATCTTACAGAATAAACAACAATCAGAATTTTTTTGTCGTAGAACACAGGCCCGTACTTTGATTGTTACGCCACTGCTATAACCCCAATATAATCTTTAATAATACGTGGTGAGATGGCGCTTCACAAAATTTAGGCTAGGACTAAATTCGACCTATAAATGTGGTTGAGCCGCTCGCATTATTGCTGATGTAAACGCAGACTAAAAGAGCACTACGTAGGTGGGATTTAGGTGAGGGTATGGGTCAGTCCACTACAAGCTTATCGCTATAAACGTAGTCATTATGACCGCAGGTCCAGATGGAATACCAAGGTTTTTAGTTAAGGCTTGTGCTACAATTTTTGGAGGTCCGTTGTCTAAATTGTTTAATCCAATATTAGTTACGAAACAATTTCCTTCTATGTGGAAGAAAGCATGTATTTGCCCAGTGTTTAAGAAGGGTATTGTTAATGAGATTAAAAACTACAGGAGGCCTATTTCTTTATTGTCTAACTGCGCAAACATTTTTGAGTCAGTTTTATTTATATAAATGTATTTATTGTTCAATTAGTTCGTACTTATCACCTTTACAACATGGGCATGGGTTTGTTAAGAAAAGATCTCCAATACACCAATCAGGCTTGTTTCACTCAATATGTCTTCGAAGCAATAGATAACAGAAGTCAGGTGGACGTAATTTACACCGATTTTCAGAAGGCTTTCGATACTGTAAGGATGAATTTAATGAATTTCGCGCGCACAAGAAACGGTTGGTAAGAAGAAGAAGAGGTTGGCAACCAACCACACCAAGAGAGAGACATGCGCAAATGTGGGGGTGGTTTTGTTTCTTGTGAAATGATTCACTTCCTTTTGACCACTTCGAGCAAACAGACAGCTTCCTTTTGACCGCTTCGAGAAGACACACCACTTCCTTACGAGCGCTTGGAGCAACAGGTCGTATTTTTAACTGTGAGTTATTCAGTGCCTTTGCTGTTGTTTTTTATTTTCCAGTGTTGATCCGTTCCATTGGAAAACCTAGCAGCCCCCGTTGAGCCATTGGGTGTTCCTGATTTCTCATCGTTCTTACGACGAGGTTTTTGTGTTCCTTTTGTCGAAATCTTCGCATCTTTGGAGAGGTATGTTTTGAACACATGTTTTGGACTGACTCATGACTCATCACTCACAAAAAAAAACACACAACGTAGGTTCTCATTTGTTAGACGATCACAGCCAAGGCCAAACTTTGAATTTTTGAATTTTTCGCGGGCCTTTCAAACCTTTTCAAGGTCAATTTTTAAGGCGGGAAGTTTGGGTTATCACAATACAATAGATTTCTTTATTTTACTAAAAAAATTACGTCATTATGGTTTCACTGATTCTTTAAATGCTGTGATTAAGTTATACTTATTTGATCGAAAAACAGTTGTAAAATATCGGAATTACTATTCTTCTCCATTTGTCCCAACATCCGGTGTCCCACAGGGTTCTAACTTAGCACCATTATTATTTTTAATCTTTATAAATGATATAGTTGATGTGATATCTTCAGAAAAAATGTTATTTGCGGATGATTTTGGTTAGCGTTTTACCATCTACATGATATTTCTAATACAAATACAAAATTTGACAACAATCGGCCCAGTATTCGGAGATTATCTGTCTAATAAACAAGACGCTAGAACCAATGATGGCGTGTCGATAGTTTGATTACAAATATATTTTTCTTTTGAACTATATCAACATAATATAACATTTCAAGATCACAAATCTGTGGTCCTGTGGTTGAAAAATTAAAAAGGGCATCGAGTATTATTATTTGAAGTAATATAGTAATATAGCAGTAGTTTTTTTTACTAGCTGTAAACACTCCTAGCGACGCACTGGCTACGACCTTGTGGATCAGATCAAAGCGTCCCCGCTACTCGCCGTAAAACACACCTTACTTCAACTGGGGAATTGCACCACTGAGATGGAATAACGCGCACTGCTAATAAACATATACGGACAGATAGATAGACGGAAACGGTAGACCTATTTCTTTGTACTCTAGGGGTCATGAAAGGTCGAGAAAACGTAAAAGTAAAGAGTCGGTCGACGGACTCGATTACAATAGGTATTTCCTTCGCTTACGCTCTGGAAGTAAAAAGGAAAGGGCCAAGTTCGGCATCGAACCCACAATTCCAGTACCGCAAGGTCGCCGTTCTCTCCAATACACCCACTACGTCACGGAGACGTATAAACCGTGTTGGGAATAAAACGTTTTCCTACCTTGCAAATGTTTTTGCGAAAATTTGAACAGTGGATTCGTATATTACTAGTGTGTAAGTATTTTTGTGATTAGTCAAATTTTGGATAGCATTTGGCCATCTACATGATATTTCTAATATATGTACACAGTGGCGTAACAATCAAAGTACGGGGCTGTGTTCTGCAACACTGTGGGGCCCCTAATGAATAGCAAAATAAAAATTATTTAAAAATACGAGTATAATGAGTAAAGTTTGAGTATATTGCAATTAGGGCTCACGTTTTATTAAAATCATTCTACCTGAAACACTGAATTAAAAAAACAAAATACAATAACTACCTAAACACATATAATTAAAATATATAAGGGGTGTTTCAAAATAATTTTTATCTAGTTAGCTTTGAAATCGCTTCAACTCCTGTGTTTCCCTTGATGAAAATCTGCAGCCATATGCGACTAGATGAAAATCATTTTGAAACGCGTTGTATTAGAAATAAAAATGTATCTCAAAATTGTTTTTTTTTTGCTTTCCAATGGGCACAAACAAGTTGATACAACATTTGACACATCTAATCTTATGGCAATTTTATTTTCAATTGAGGTAATAGCCAGTGAAGTTAATCTGCCTTGGCCCATTGTGTTTCTTAAAAAAATTTTAATCATTTTTAATTTCGAAAAAGATCTTTCCGCTGAAGCCACCGAAAGAGGTATTGTAAGAGAAGTGAAATATGCTGTGTTAATTTCACTGGAACTAGTACAGGTACTAGGTACTCATTTTGTAATAATTTCGCGGTTCAGTGTTTTTTTTTTCTACCTAAAAAATTAGTTGTAACATACATCAGATATATTTTATTATTCCAAAAAAGTACTACAAACACAAAATTAAAATAGTTTTGAAAATACGAAAGTTTTCATAAAACGCAACTGAAACTGAATTTTATTTACGTCTTACACCATAAAGTTTCACTGAAGATCTGAAAATGTATGTATTTTGTTGTCCTGAATCATAAATTAGTCATACTTTTGCCGGCTAAAGATTGGTAATTACTAAATGAAGTGTTAGATTTGCCACAATGGGATTGCGACAGTGCGACAGGGCATTTCTGACCGCTGGTGCCGGTGACTAAAACCCGAGTTTATCAAGTCTATGATATTGAGATGCCGCCAGAGGCAGCAAAAAATATTAAATAGCAATGAACGATCGATCCTAGGATCACCGCACATTTTCATTTTTTATTTCGGGATGTAATTTGCGCAATAATATAAAAAATCCAATAAAACAAAAAATGTTCGTGTGACCGGACCGGGCCCCTTGAAGAAGCGGGCCCGTGTTCCGGCAAACGTATGGAACACCGGTAGTTACGCCACTGTATGTACATAACATACATATAAAATTTGACAACAATCGGTCCAGTAGTTTCGGAGATGACGTGTCTAATTAAAATGGATACAGACACCAGACAAACAGACAGACAAACGGAAACGGGATACTGCTTTTTTCGTATTGTAGGGGTCATGAAGCGTCGAGAAAACATAAAAGTGGTCATTCGTCCGATGGACTGGATTACAATACTTTTTCGCTTACGCTCGGAAAGTAAAAAGGTTCAAGTTATTAGAATAACAGATTTGTTATTTAATGGCAGGTAAGTATTTGTTAGGACAAAAAAATATTGCCAGAACATTTCCACCCCTCCAAACAGTTACCTGAATAATAAAAAGTTGTATTTGTTCTTATATTTGTGTTATGGGAACAGTGTTGAAATTTGAATATAATTAGAAATAAATTGATTTGATGAATAAATCTAAATACCAGAATAAAATTCCTTTAGCAAACCCTCGCCAGAAGCGCAAGAGAGTTTTATGAATTTAGCGTTGTTTATTCCAGAATGGGGATTGCTTATAGTGCAGTTTACGGTTACAAAACTTCATCCACTGATTTTCGTAAGTACTGAAACACATAAAGTAAATCGGTCGCTAGCTCTTAGACTATTCGCTGCTTGATAAACATTATTAAGAAAGTTTATAAAACGTTATTCTGTATCACTTGACTTAAGAATCCTGTGTTTTATTTCTACAACTTACAATATTTTTTTATATTTTTATTAACTTTATTTTTCATTGTGAAAAATTAAGATTGGATCAAAATGTGTTTTACACGTGTGTTGAGTGCATGAAGTAAACAAAATTAGCATAATAGATTAAACTCGTTTAGTGAGATACAGAAAAAACACTAGCATATTTAAAAAGTGTCAACTCATGTTCTACTATAAAATTTAATTCTTGTTCTGTTCGAGGTCGTTTACCAAGTGATCTTATTAATCGAAAGATATCGTCCAGTTCCCCTATACTTAAAGATTTTGTGTTTTTTGAAAATGTTACGAACTGATATTAAAAAAAAGAAATTATTTATTACTAACAACTTCGACAGAGACTGGGTGGTAGAATCTTCATCAGCTGCGAAAAATTGCAAGAATTATATAAGGGAAATTGTTGATACACTTGATCTCCAGCCCAACCCTACGAAGGATGTTATTGCACTTTCGATAGGTTAGTACTGTTTTCATTAACTTTACAAAAAATAACATTATTTGAAATATTTGTGAATTTATAACAATTATGTGAAACTTATGAAGGTGATGGGGGAGATCAGGAAATAATCGCCAATACTATGTATACTTAGAATAATTCGAAAGTCTCGAAAGTCGTTTCATTTTATCAATCAAATCATCAATACATCTGACTTGGTCTTAGTACCCATTATGATGGAAGTTTTGCTTGAATAGGGGTAATTTCTGAGTCAGTGGGAGGTCCATTGTAAAAATTATTTTGAAGGTAATAAGTTCGTGTAATTAATATACCGATTTTGAACTAACCAAATACATATACATCATACATATATATTTTTGCATTGATGATTTTTTTTTAACTTTGGTATCAGGTAAGTATAGGATAAATTAAGATCTCAAACTCTACCCCTCATATATTTAAAAAATTTTGTTATAGTTAGGACATCATTAGTAGTTGCGTAAATAAAACTCCGCAATATTTAAGTTTGTTTGGGACGCGCTTATTTTTAGTTGCGCTACTGACCGTTATCAATATGTTACAGTAAAACATATTTTTTAAAATTATATGACAGCAATACGGTTCTTAACCACTAATAATGGGGTGTTTTGCGGAGGTGTTTCTTACCCACATAAATCACATGCACCAGTGTCGGCTCGTCAGGGACGGCAGGGTCGGCCAGGTCGTGCCAAATAATTTAAGAAATGAGAAAACAATTTTCTTTTGAAAATCCAAATTTTTTATTAGCATTTTTGAAAAACTGTTATGGTAGAATGTACAATAATTTGTAAAAATTAAAAAATTAATAAATAAAAATAATTACTATTAATTTCTAATAATGAAGACACAGTTTAATGTTTTAAATTCATCCCCGCAGAGAAACTATTTTACTATGTCAAATGCTATAGACACGGGTCCGGCCGGCCGATGCGTTGAAAAATTACCAACAGTAATCTACGAACTACCGCTTTTGCTTTCCGATCGGTATAGGGCTGCGTTAAAGTTACGATTCTGGCGTAGATTGGAACATACAACATCGGCCGGTAGTGCTCTGCTGACCGATTTTGCCGCAGACACCATGGATGCGGCGCGCTCGTTTCTATTGCTGTTTTACGAGTATATTCATTCATTTCCATATTTACAGTTTTCCATTATCCTTAATACCTTAATGTAAATACAGGATTGTGAATTATAAATTATTAAAAACTGATTAAAGAATTGTGCATATCAAGCATACAGTTTCAAAATTTAAGACAGTCGTTAATAGTATAATTTAGTTGGGTAAAATTGGATGATTCAAACAATATTGCAATGTTTTTATCAATCACTTGATCACATATATCTTAATACGATACGAGGGTAGCGCCAGAAATTCCCGGCCTGCCTATGAAAGAAACGGCGTAGACTTACAATTAAATTTTATTTTTCAATGTAGTCCTCCCTGACATCAATGCACTTATTAGATCGTTTCAGCAACAATTCAATACATTTAAAAAAATATTCTTTCGGCTTGGTCCCAAAATGTGCCGAAACTGCAGCCTTCACCTCTTCGTCGTCTCCAAAATGGCATCCTCGAAGGTTTTTTTCAAAAAACTATTTGGCCTAAGCTGCATTTTTGTATGTTCCAGACCTAATGAGACTGGAACTGACATATTCCTAAGATTTTGTCCTCCTACTGTACCTGGATCTATGCCAGGCCGGGAATATTTGGCGCTACCCTCGTACATCCCGAACTGTAGAGTGTCGAAATTATATTCGTCTCCCGTAATAAAAAATATTTTACATAAAATATCCCGTGAATTCCCGTGTAGTTTCACCATGCACCCGCTGTCGGCCGGCCAGCCGACCGGCTCCGTTGTAGCAGTCCAACGTACTTGGACGATTAGTAAACCGAAGCTGAACGAACGATGAATATTTTTAAGTAGTGGTTGTTGGTTGTACCAGAGAACATAGAGAAGTGTCATAGTTTAAATTAAATGACGGTTGCGGACTCCTCAATTTGTTGGTAGCAGTGTTTGTTTTTAACTAGGAATAAAAGTAACTAGAAGAAATGTCAGAATATTTTTAACGACGCGTTTTATTTCCGACAAATTGACACTAGATTTACCAGAATATTACAAGGTACTTACTGTTTCTTTCACTTTCATTCAGGTCACACGAATTACAATTATAGTGAAACAAGGTTTTTATTGGCATCGACTATTTAAATGTGGCGCTTGCCTTTGGCGGTTGAGGACTCCAATGTCAATAAGGGTGGTTTTGCAAAATCAGCTTCTATGTCGCATCTATATTAATTTATGGTTGTACGTTGCACGAAGTGGGCGTGATAAAATGGGTAAATAATTAAATATATATTAATTTGACACGAATGGCGACTTGGTTAATTATTTATTAATACATAAATTTAAAGAATTAACTTATGACGATAAAGTTTTTGTAAAGCAATTGACTATTCCTCGACCGTTAATGAGCAATTTGCTTCAACCAAAGCTTGGTCATAACTGTGCATTTTCTAAAACACTCTACGGTAAATATCCTTGGTTAGCTGGCAGCGAAACACGTAACAAATTTTATTATTTTGTTGGTATTGTTTATTATTTTCGGAATCCAAGAAACTTTATAATTCGAGTGGTTATGATAATTTAAAAGAAGTTCATCGTGCACTGGCCAAACACGAAATTTCTAAGGAGCATATCCATTCGACTCTAAAATTTAAATTGTTTGGAAAATACAATATCGCAAATTCGTTGGATAGTGCCAGACGCGAATCTATACTTCTATACTTATATTATAAAGCTGAAGAGTTTGTTTGGTTGAACGAGCTAATCTCAGAAACTACTGATTCGAATTCAAAAAATCTTTTTATGTTGGATCGTCCATTTATCGTATATACATATACGCTGTATAACATCACGCTACGATCAATAGGAGGGAAGTAGCAATGAAAAATTCGGAAAAACGGGAAAATTATTCCTCCTTTGACAGCTTCCGTTGCTTAAGCTGCTTAAACGGTTAAAGTTACGTAAAAATCATGTATGATGAAATTGTTCCCCTCTAAAAGTTAAAAAAAAGTCCGCGACAGCATATGTCTATCTTTTAAAGTCGACTCAGTATAACCTTTTTTATGGTAATGAAATTTGTTCTAAAATAATAATGCATAATCTAGGTATCTAGGTATATAAATCAAACTGAATCGCCGAAATGTATGTACGCGCATAACTTCAGAACGACTGCACCAGGTTGGATGATTCTTTTTTTATGTGTTCTTTATTGTCAGGACAAGGTTTGTATATAAGAAAATTTATAAAAAATAAAACAGCTAAAAAAGCAAAAAATTCTAAAAATTTTGTATGGGAATCGCCATTTCGAATTAATTTCAATAGTTGGCGTTTCTGACGGACCTGTGGTCTAACTGACGTGTCATACAAAACCAATTCTTCCGTGCGATTGTGAAAAGTATATTGCATTTCAAATCGCTCTTTGTTTTTTCGTAAAAAAAACAACGTCGTTTATTTTAATAAAAGTCTTGGTTAAAGTGATTTTAGTTACACATTGCGAAAGTTTCTTATTAATTTTGATCTGCCATTCTATTTCCCTTTATTCACTTTGTTGGTTTCGACAAAACCTCATTCTTTACAGTTATTCGAGGATTTAATTTGAAGTTTTCAATATTTTAAAATTCTCAAGACAAAATTTACAGATTTGATTGACTGTGAAAATAATTCTGTCGTTTTATGAAGTTCATTACAATGCCGAGAAGACGATAAGCTGACATAGGTCCACGAAGTCAATCAAATGTGCGACGAACTACCTCAGGTGCTAACCGCAATGATTTATTTCATGGGTAATTCGGATACGGAAGTTGATCAAAGTTGTGATCATAATCAACATAATCAAACATTGAAGCGAGACATTGGGTGGTATGAATAAAACTGAGTAGATACTCATATTCGAAGTACGAAGTACCTACTTCATTATTACTCTTATATACCTCAGCATCTACTCTATGTACTGAATACCTACTTGGAAACATTGTATAGAACTTCCTTCGCACCAAAAGTATAATGAAACAAATTCAGTATTTTCGAGTTGAGTCTTTTCTTCACACAATTTTGTGATGACCTATTCAACATTTACAATCAACACATATACCACCTTGTAAATATAAATAAGCGTGCTACCCTTATGTTTCAACCGAGTTTTTACTTTACAAAATTTTGTGTCTACCAAATTGGGTTGGTCCAATGTATACTAATAATATGTGTTGCCTTTAATTTTATCAATAAAATAAATTGACTTTTTTTTTGAGCCACCTCTTAAGCAAATCTAAAAAATTGGTCTAAAGAGTTTAGACAGTACTTCCCTCGCTGTCGGAAACGTGACGACTGCGTGTCTATTATGTCTTTTTTTCGCAGTAGATTTCATTTTTTTTTTTGAGTCACCCGGTATATGCAAATTCAAAAAATATGAATGGAATGATAAATTACAAGTACAGACTCATCATATTTTGTATATTCTAGATAGGATTTATTCGGCAAACTTTTGAGCTGACGTCATCAGTTTTTTGTAGAAGATAACCAAATATATTTTGAGTAAAAATTTATTATGCTCTTTATAACCTTAAAACATCTGCAAGATTTCAAAGCATTCGGTGTTGTAGTTCCCGATTAACTCAATAAAATAAATTCACGCATTTATTAATTTTTTTGAGTCACCCTGTATATGGAAATCGAAAAAATTTGAATGGAATGATAAATGACAAGAAGAGACTCACCATATTTTGTACATTTTAGATAGGATTTATTTGGCAAAATTTTGTGGTGACGTCATAAATTTTTTAGGGGGGATGAGCAAATACATTTTGATCAAAAACTTACCATGCTTATGATAACTTTAAAACACCTTCAAGATTTCAAAGCATTCGGTTTTGTAGTTCCTGAGTAAATTAGTAAAATAAATTTACGCATTCATTATTTTTTTTT